GGAGAGGTGGGGAAGGCTGTGAGGCAGTGTAGGGGGTGACCAGCTTGGGCTGTGGGGATAAAGGGGGCATAAGTGAAGTGTAGGGTCGATTCATAGACTCCATTCTGGCCTATAAGGAGCATAAAGGGGGGGGGAGGTGGGAGAGAGAAAACACAACAAACACAACAGTTACAGAGGTAAGCTTTGCGTCAAACTAAACAAGGAATCTGGGACATGGGAGAAAGGACTCTGCAGTGGGACAATGTCAGGAAGGCGAAAATCGGACTCCCTGGGCACCAAGGGTATACAGGGAATTTGTTCACCCAGCAATACTCTCAAGTGGCAAGACTGCCTAACAATCTAGGGAAAACGTCCTGCTGATCAGTGGCGGGTTGTCTGATCTCCGAGCCCTGACTTTCCCACGCCTGCCACGAACAGGAGCCCCCGTGGGGGGACCTCTGTGCACTGACCCCCCTGGACTGTGGCAAGCGGAGACGTGATGGCTCGAGTTCACCTTTCAGTCCATGGCCGCATCCACATCAAGCAGATGCCATAACCGGGTTTAGGAGTGCTGGTGGAGGGCCTCCCGAGGAGTGAGGACGGCTGTGTGATGCTAGCAAGCTGACACGAGAGAACATGAGAATGTTCAGCAGGGCATGCACAGTCACATGGGAATGAATGAGCTTGACACACACACTCGTGTTCGTGTGAGACACTTGCATCCAACATGCACAGAAGTCCAGCAATGCAGGTAAAGGGGGGGCATTCTTTACATTTGTTTTACTGGAAAATACATAAAGAAATGCTTTATAAACATTACAGCAAAAGATTATAAAAATACCATACAGAAAAAGCCAGGAGAAAATGAGGGGAAACCTTAGAAAACTAAAGGAAATATATCAAGGAATGGCAGCTAGACTTTGCCAACAACCTGCTGACCAGCCCCTCGGGCACCTCTGGCACTGCCCGGGTTACCACATCTGGTCATCTGTGTCATGGAGCCACTCATGCATGAATGTGGTTCAAGTACTTTTGAAAAGAGCAAAGGAAGGGCCCTTGGTTTAATAAAGCTTGGGCACGTGTTTTAGGTTCTTTGAACAGACTCTGAGGATCCAAGATAAACCATTTGTTTCCAAACTACAAATGACATCTAATTAGCATCAAGAACGCTCAGGTTAGTAGACTAGAAGGCTCAGGACGGGGCTGAATTCTAATGCCCACCAGGACACTCACATGTTTCTTTAAAAATTGCACAAAGTAAAAGCATTAGTCTGCGAGACTTGGTTACAGGGGTCACCCAGGTTAATGTGTTTCCAAAGAACAGCCCCTGACCTTAACTTGACCCTGTCTTGGCTGCTGCAGGGGTGCAGACCTCAGCCGTGCTGGCCTTCTCATTTGGCACCTGAGGCTGAGGTAACAGAAGAAACACAGGTGGGGTCAAGACACACCATCGATGCTGCACAGAACGGTTCGCGCTCCAGAAACTACCACGACCAACTCTGTGGCTTCAGCACACAGCATTCGGACCTTTATTATTATTTTGTTTTCCTCTTGGCCTTTCACTTAAAATGTACATGGTTAACACTATTAAAAATTTAGTAAGGGAGCAGACTTTTCTTTAGATATCTGAATTGTGCAAATCTGCTTCTCCAACTACACATACGGAGTTATTAATAAGCACAAGATAGGGCTGTTTCATCCAAACTGATTAAGTGGGAAAGGGAGACAATTATTTCTTAAAATCTGAGCCCCTGATAAGGGAGTTAAACAAACTGTGAGTGCTCTGAAAATTCAGGTCATTAGAACCGATTTTCAAATATTTCTTTCTAAGACAAAGTGTCCCACCCCGACATGGGGCTACTAATGCCTCTTGCTGAGGAGCAGTTAATACACCACAAATGCAAATAAAGGAATAAATTAAAGGAAACGATCCATTTAATTCTCTTTGGTGAGTGTACGTGTGTAAGTGATTCAGACCAAAAGAACAAAAAAAATCACGATGGTTACTGGGTAGAAACACAACGCTCAGGCCAGCCGTGCCACTGGCCCCTCGGTGACGGTGATGGCGACGGCGTGAGCGCCTCCCGCTCAGCGGGCGAGGGCAGCCGCGACACACAAGGCTGCCCTCCGAACTTCAGAGGCAGTCTGATTCGATGGCTTTCACCCGGGCTAGAGAACCTACATATTTCTAAACAGTCCTGCAATAATTATAATTCATCCTTCAGTGTCATTGAACAAGCTACTGTGCAAAGCTCAGGGATCCAAAATTTTAAGGGGATTAATCTGAATTTATGTCTTCTGCATATACTAAAATTTGAGAAAATCTCATGTGCAGAGAAATGCCAAAAAGCATAAAAGAATAGAAGACAAAGGAAGGAGTCTGAATAGATTAATAATGAGTAACGAACCATTAAAGCTTCTCTGAAACAAAGTTAGGGCCTTGGCACTAAATGGTGTTGCTCCATCCCAACTGATTAAGGGTGAAAGGGAAGACATCATTATTTCTTAAAAGTCTGAACCATCGATAGTCATTAAATTGCCAGTTTGAGATCTTAGGTCACTAGAGCCAATTCACAGATACTCATTTCTGAAGAGAAGTCAAAGTAAGAATACTGAAATAGGGCCAAGAAAGAGTTCTAATAAAGGAATAAAAGCAACAAACTAACCCATGGAACATCAAAGATTTTTTTTATATAAATTATCACCAGTGTGTTACCTACCTTGCTGGACTCTTCCAACTGAGTACCACGTTTCCAGGCTTCAGAGAAAATGGAGCTCACAATACTCTGGGAACGGACATGTCCTGCTGGCTGAGTATCAGATACTCCGCTGTCAGATTGATTAGAATGATTTGACTGAGACTCTGTTTAAAATAGATTTTCAAAAATAGGATTAAGTTGTTATTCCGACAGTATGAATATGTACAGTTAGCGAGCTCTTTTACACAAGATCAGATGCTATGCAGGACTGCAACAAGTTACTTTTACTCATTTCATATAAACACAATCTGAACTTTCCTCTAGAAAACTTTCCTTATCTTAGGGCTAATAGGAAATCTTGGTTCTTTTTAAACAGCTCACCATGACAGACTGAACATCACAATGAAAGATTTGTGTAACGTTACTGGTATCCTGACAACCTTGAAGAGATGTTCTCGCCTTGCCTGGAGGCCAGGCTACAGTGTAGCTGCTGCCTGGTAGTACCAGTACCTGAATCCCTAGAAAACACTTCTCACTTGAGCTCAGGGTTGCTGGGAATGGTGGCAGATACACTGGATGTCTCTCTGACATCCAGGGTGAGGGACCTGGGGAGATTATGTCACTGGACCCCAAGTCAGGTAAGATAACCATGCGGAAGGAAGCACCTGGCCCAGTGGCCAACATCTGGTGGAGATTCAGGTGTTAAAGCTAGTCCTATCCAATGACTCTGTGTGTGTGGGGGGGGTATATTATTAGATTGCTTTTTAATCAAGTCCAGCCAAGTTACCGAAGCAGTACAGAGATGACAGCCACAAACTCCTTTGGATAAAGTTAAGACATATCCTCAGGCAAAAATACAGGATAAAACCTACTCTGTTTTCTTCTTTCTTCATCATTCAATTGCTGAGTCTTTTTAAAGTTTTTTATTTTAATTCCAGTATAATTAAGTTATATTAGTTTCAGGTGTACAGTATAGTGATTCAACAATTCTATACATTACTTAGTGCTCATCACAGTAAGTGTCCTCCTTAATCCTCATCACCTATTTTACCCATTCCCCCATCCACCTCCCCTCTGGTAACCATCAGTTTGTTCTCTCTAGTTAAGAGTCTGTTTCTTGGTTTGCCTCTCTCTCTCTTTCCTTTGCTCATTTGTTTTGTTTCTTAAATTCCACAGATGAGTGAAATTTGGTATTTGTCTTTCTCTGACTTATTTCATTTAACATTCTCTAGCTCCATCCGTGTTGTTGCAAATGGCAAGATTTTTTTTTTTTTTTTAAAGATTTTATTTATTTATATGACAGAGAGAGAGACAGAGTGAGAGGGAACACAAGCAGGGGGAGAGGGAGAGGGAGAAG